CCATTTCACATAGCGTAGCAGTTTGTTTTGCTGCGATTCAGAAAGTAAGTTATACAGCCGTTTCACTCAGGATTAGATGAGGTATTTCCGGATAAACAGAGCAGCGATGCACAGTCTGCTGGAATAAACAAGCGCTGCTGCATACCCTGAAGAACTGGGTAGGTGTTTCAGGCCTACGAGCAATACAACGCGTAAAACAAAGAAAACCTAATCCCTTATGAAACAAGGAAAGACAAAAGGAATATTATATATGGGTTATATATATATATATATATATATGCGGGCTCTGAGACCCTCCATGGTGGTGGAGAAGAATGTTCTATCGCAGGCGTTCGCTAGCAGCTGCACTATATAGCATCTCTTCTGCCTGTAGTATGCTACAGCATGAGAAGCATATCTACCGGTCCATACATAATATTAATATATATATATATATATATATATGTACATATATATTAATATTATGTATATGTATATATGTATATTCAGAGTATCCCTTGGTGTTTTCATTTGTAGTGAGTATGTTAATAGGTTTGTCTGCAGTGCTTAGCTGCCGCATCAGCCTACACTCAAGCATCTCTTTGCAGCTTACGCAGCGGAGAAGCAGAGGAGGAGAAAGGCGGCAGCTTTTATTTGCCTTTTGTGTCAGTGTGTACCACCCCCCGCCCCGCCCCCTTCCAACCACCATCCACCGACCCAAACAACTATCATATTCTTCTGTATGTCAAAGCTACCCTCATTGTTGTTAACAATTTGGGGAATCTAATATAAACTTAGCGGTTTAGGGTTTAGTGTCTAGGGTTTAGGGTTTAGGGTTTCGGGGGTGGAATTAGGCTCCTAGGGTTCTAGGTTTAGGGTTTAGGGTTTTGGGTCACGTTCCTGGTAGGGGGATCGGTGCAGAGGGTTTACGGTTTAGGGTTTAGGGTTTAGGGAGTAGAGTCTAGGGTTTATGGTTTAGGGTTTAGGGTTGACGTTGCAGAGCTTTGTGTTTACGCTACAGTGTTTTGCGTTCAGGGTCTAGGGTTTAGGGGCTAGAGTTTAGGGTTTAGTGTTAAGGGACTAGGGTTTTAGGGTTTAGGGTTCAATGTCAAGGTTTAAGGCAAGGTCTAGGGTTTAGGGTTTAGGATTAGGGGGGTTTAGGGTTTAGGGTTTAGGGTTCACGCTGGGCTTGGCCTAGAGCCTCGAGGGGAGGGTTTACGGTTTTGGGTTTAGGGTTTAGGGTTTAGGGTTCAGGGTTCGTTTGATTAAAGGAAGCGTTTGTAATAAACTCACTAATATTCAGGCTAAAATAAATTAGCAGCAGCAACACCAGTAGCAGCAGCAGCAGCAGCAGCAGGAAGGTCTGCCCGCCGTCCCTCCCGCGTTGGAGGCCCGCTGGCTTGCTGCTGCTGCTGCTGCTGCTGCTGCTGCAGTTGTGGCTGCTGCTGCTGCTCCAGGTGTCTCCCAGTGTCTCTCTTGTTCTGTTTTTCTGCAATAATTTTTATGACTTTCCTTCATCTCGAGGTCAATAAAGAAGGATCATTTCACAGCAGCAGCAGCAGCAGCAGCAGCAGCAGCAGCAGCAGCAGCAGCAGCCACGGCGCCGCCGACCAGTGGCCCTGAAGCGTGCGTCGGCCGCCTCAGCAGAAGTAGCATCTGCAGCAAACCCTTTTAGTTTTTATTTTAAACAGTTTGAATAGTTTATTTGTTAGCTGTACATACACCCCAAATCGCAAACCCTAAACCCTCAGCTTGTCTTCATCCAGTTCAGCAGCAGACAGCAAAGGCAGCAGCCACAGCCGCTGCTGAAGCTGCTGCTGCCGCTGCTGCTGCTGCAGCAGCGACAGCAGCAGCAGTAGCAACAAAAATTACATGTTCACTCAATTAAACACAATGGAAGCAGCAGAGCAGCAGCAAACGGAGCCTGCAGCAGCAGCTGCAGCAGCACCAGCAGCAACAGCAGCGGCCGGGCCTGGACCAGCCGCAGTGTCTCCACCCTGTGAGCAGCAGGAGCAGCAGCAGCAGCAGCAGGAACAGCAGCAGCAGGAACAGCAGCAGCAGGAACAGCAGCAGCAGGAACAGCAGCAGCAGGAACAGCAGCAAGAGAAGGAAGAAACAGAGAGGCAGCAGCAGCATCCAGGGGAAACAGCTGCTGTCTCTTCTGCGCTGCAAAACCCGCTGCTGCTGCAGGCCGCAGCCTTGCTGCTAGCTGCACAGCAGCAGCAGCAGCAGCAGCAGAAGCAGAAGCAGAAGCAGCAGCAAGAACAGGGATCTGCCGTTAGTCCCCCTCAGCAAGGAGATGGGGGCTTCCTCAGCAGCCGTTGCAGCAGCAGCGGCAGCAGCGGCGGCAGCAGCAACGGCAGCAGCAGCAGCAGACTAACGAGCAACTGCAGCGGCAGGAGCAGCGGAAGGTTAACAAGCAACTGCAGCAGCAGCAGCAGCAGGAGTGATCTGCTGCGGCCCCCCACAGCCACTACCAGTCCACGAGACTCCAATGAACAGCAGCAGCAGCAGCAGCAGC